GCCAGTCGCTGAGCGACCAAAGCCATTTGGCATATGCATTGCAAACATTTATGGTTATTATAAAGCATTTAAGATTATTATCATGCCCTGTGGCAGCTGTTACAATCGCATTGATTTGAGTTTTGCCATTTCTGCTGCTGCTGCTGCTGCTGCTGTTGTAGTGACACCTAAATTAAGTGATAAAGTCGGAGGCGTAACTCTTTTCCGCGTTGCAGTTGATTTCCTGACTTGAAAAGACTCTCTTATTGGGATTTTTATTCGAGTTGCAGATACCCTTTTATGTGCATTGAAATTGGATCAAGTATTCAAGTAGACACCTGCATACCTCTTTCTCTTTCTTCAATTCAATTTTCAATGTTAACATATCTCCGAGAAACCCCTGATCTTGCCTAACTCTGGTAAACTTGACTTACTCCACACGTTCAGATATTTGCCTATTTTTTCTTTATTTTCTAGCTCACTCTATGCTTCCCTGCTAATATTTGGCGCTCTTTTTAAATAAATAAAATAAATAATAAAACTAAAATGAATAAATGAAATAAATAAATAAAATATATGAAATATATTGCCCATAGAGCAAAACTATATATCTGTCTGTTTCAAAGGAAAGAGATCCCTTAGTTTTGATAAAATTTCGATTTCATCTGACCAATCCGATGGTAATAATAATTACCTATTTTGTCTGCAAGGATTTCATTCTTTGATATGCTATATATATTCATATAGCCATGTTCTCTTATCTGTCTGCCTGAATGTTTTTTTCAAACAGTCTTAAAGAAAGTTAAGAAATATTTCCCACATTTTGCCGATCACTTCCATAGTAACAATCGGTTGGCCTTTCAACTTTTATTGAAATTTAGAAATGGATTTAGGTTGGATCCCAGTCTGGAAGGGTCTGTAAACTTCGACTTAGACAGCTGTTCTTTCTTGTGCTCTTATCAATTTATATAATAGAGGAACTATTACCAAGTCTGAGCTGGTTAGTCAGTCTACACTTGTTAATTCCGCGCGTAGTCCCAGCTTAATAGATAGTTACGCTCGTAGACCCAAGGCATAGATTGTATTTACTAATTAGTAATGACGGCAGTAACATGTTTGTGTCAGCACGATTTGAATGATAAGTGGTACCTTTTTGGATATCAAGTTTTCCCATAGCCGAAAACGAAATTCGAAATCTTGGCCGAGTTGACAAATAAGTTACGCTTAATTTTGTGGCAAGCGTTTATAAACCGAAACACGCAACACATTTAGACAGCACAGCACCTAAAGCGAAACCATTAAAAACGCCACTCTGATAAAAAATTCAAAGACCGACCGAACGAACTAAAACAACCAAAACCAAAAACCAAAAACCCAAAACCAAAAAACCGAAACCAAAACGAATACCGAACCCTGGCTAACTGAGTGAGTGCCATAAAGTTTGAATTTTACGACGCTGTGTGGTCTCATTTGACATATTGTGGGCTTTACGATTCCAAAATTAATGACACCGAGGCAGGTAACGGGCGCTCTCCGATTGGGGGCGCCCTGCCAGTCTTGCTCCAGCCTGTTGGGTTTTTGGTAACTTTACCACTGGCGGTTGTGGTGGGGTCTCTCTTGGTACTCTGTTGGTTGGTTGGCTGGTGCCATACCGGTTTTGTGTATTTTAAACGACAGCCTCATCAGTTAATAAGACACATACCCATTTTTATGGCATTAAACGACGACAAGTGAAACATAAAATATATATTTACTTCATTTTTAATGCGCCTGCGAGGCAACCAAAACAATTTGCAATGCAAATGATCAACGCGTTCGCTTAGTTTGGACTAACTGACTGGCTGACTGACTGACAGACTGACTGGCTGGTTGGCTTTTTGGCTCTTTGGCTGGTAATAATACTTATTTGCGAGTGGGTCTGACTTTGCTACTTAAATTCAAATTCATTGCGTTATTGTGCGTTGTTTCTTTTAGGTTTCGGCAACTGAAATAAATCGCAATCAACTTAATTTACGATCTGAGCAACTTTACGTTATCTGCAGCTTAAATTAAAACTTATTTACATATAATTTGCGCACATAAATTATGTGCACAGAGTGTCAAACACTGAATTTATGATCGAATTGCAATTGCACTTAATTTGCCATTTACACTTTCAGTTGAGCTCATTTAATGTAACCTTTAAAATTGATTCAGACTATGCGATAAGCCAGGCAACAAGTTCTAATTACTTTCGAGTTAATATTTATTGAGTTTAATTACAATTTATTGATTTAGCTTTAAGTATTTGATACATGTATATGTATTATACAAGTTTGTTTGAACTCAATAGAATCCCATTTCCTGACACCTCAATGAAATTCCACTTAAGACATAAGAATGAATTTTAACTGCATTCGTGTTAATTGACGATTTAATGACTTTATTTACCCCAATCGGAAACAATATTACCACAAACATATTATATAAATTCCTTGAAATAAGCCAGATTACCCAAAAAGTTAAGCAACATTAGCATTTTATGCAAACAAATCAATTGCTCGTCCATTTGAAAAAACGTATTTATAACTTCTACTGCTGCTAAACCTTAACAAACCTACAATTGAAAATTATATAAAATTGTAAAGCCTCTTCAATAATTTCACATCTGTAAAAAAATTGACCCATTTGATTTTAAAAGTTAAAGGCGGTGAAATACTTCCAATATTCCTTATATAAATCGACTCTCTAACCATGAAAATCTTCTGGCAATAAACTTATGGACATTAAAGATTAGCAAAAGATTAGATTGGCTGACTTACTGTGGTAGAACCAATTCGGTCATGTTTATGGTATCCATACAATATTCTGTTTGTCCTTTAACAGATTATAAATTAAAACTAAAAAATTTGTCCTTTAACAGATTATAAATTAAAACTAAAAAATTAAGGGAGATAAAAAATAATGAATTATAGCTTATATTACGCCATAGAGTGGAATTTAATCAGTTGTTGTTTTTATTCATTTAATGCACGGAAAATACAAAAAGTAATACATAAATAAAATAAGAAAAAATATAAAAAAATAATGATTCATTTATTAGATTACTAGCTAATAGTTATTAGTTAGTTAGTATCAATTAGTTAAGATGCCCACCCACAAATGAATGCGAAAATATTATGCAGGAGATAAGATGTCTATGATTATATTATTGTACGATATATCACTTATCGCTAGCCAGATATATAAACACAATATATTCGAGCATTATCGAGAATATTCATGTTTGATATCCCTTATTGTTTGGCGTTTGTAAATCATTCAATCCATGCTTTGAATTCCACATGCTTTAATCATCTAGCATATGCTGAATAAATCCTGATTTATGCACTTAAACAAATTAAATCCGAGAGTTATGTGCGTGAGTTGGATCTGACAAGGGGATAATTTGGGTCAGCCATGGAACACATGAAACATGCGAGATGCGATGCGAATATAAATCATTGTATGGTGAATGTTTTCATTCATTGGCTCTTCATGTATTACGCATCTGCTTATAACTGTATTCATCTATCTATAAGGTGTATGCGATTTATTTGTTTTGTTTTTTTTTTTTTGTTTTCTGTGTAAACTTTCGAGCTACTCGCTAACGAGTTCCATAGATGATTTGTCTTTTAAGTTGTCGCATAAAGTGCTTGATGGGCCCAGGGACAATTTCGGGACTACTCGTCCCATATTCATAAATCAGCGCTTATTTCACAGCGATCTCTTTTATTTATGTATGATTGTGTGTAAGTGTGTATGTGTGTGTGTGTGTATCTGTGTGTGTGTATGTGTGCTTGCCATTTCTACCCCCGTAGCCTACAATTTGTAGAGCAGACAGGCTGCATCCTTGCGTTATCCTGTTGCCCCGTTCTCCGCCCTGTTGCTATATTACAAATGACTGTGGAATATTTATAAGCATCATAAATTTAATTTATGTCGCCACTGCGCCCGCCGCGTTTATTGTGCGCATAATAAACGCTCCTCACCATGTCGCACAGCCTCCCCTTGCCACCCCTGACTGCCCCAACCCAACCCAGCCCAAACCAAACTAAACCAAACCAACGCAACCTCCTCACAGTTATCCGGCTATTGAAGTAATTTATTATTTTTATACGTTTCGTGTATGTGCGAGTGTCTGTGTGTATATATTTTTGTGGCACGCATATTATACATTATACATAAAATATAGTGCGAAAATTGCAGTTGCTATTATTTTTATTTATTATGGTATTTTTTTTGCGTCGCTCAATGTGAATTTGTGTGGTAAGTGATAAATATGTTCTGTTTTTTTATATTTTATTTTGCTTTTTTTGCTGTTTTGAGTTCGCTGTTTACTAATAGGGGTTGCTTTCTAATTTGAGTGATAGTAAATTATGTTGGCAATGGTGAAATTCTGCATTTTGCCATCTTCTTTACCTTGCCGAGACCCATTTGCAAATCGTTTGAAATGGTTTTGTTGGCGAGTTTTGCTTTAAATTTATAAGTAAATTATACAAAATGCAAATTTACCCATTAAACCATTAACTTACCCATTTATAACTTTTTGAAAGGTTTTTGATCTCTTATGCGATTGTTCGTTGAATTAAGACAAGAAAGTGAAATATTTTCTTTTGTTTTTTTTTATAACAATCTCGATTTGCTTTCAAGCTTTACTAATGACGACTAAAATGACTAATTATTTAAAAATAAGCTATATTTGGGCTCATTAATAAATAATTTGGCTTTGTAGCTGGTACTTTAACTCGTAATTTAATAAAAATAAAAATAATAATAATCATAAAATAAGTGAGGGAAAACGATCAATATACACTTCAAATTCAGCATTGATAATAAATATTATCAAATATATATTAATAATAATTGTTCAATTTTGAATGAAATAAAAACTCAAGTAATAATTCACTTTGGAAAAATGTTGCAAGATTTATTAGGATAAAACAATAATATTTGGTATTACATTCAACAAGAGATCACAGCAATCCAATGAGTTGTTCTGATTAGTGGTAGCTGTGCTCGTGTCCGGCATAGGCGTGCTCATAGCCACCATCGTGGCCACCATCGTGTTCGTAGACAATGTGTGCCTCCTCGTGTCCATGTCCATGACCACCATGAGCACCACCGTGGCTGTGTCCGGTGCCATGCTCCTGCTTCAATGAGTAGCTGTTGGAGCTGGAGCCATGGCCATGACCATGCTCAGAGCCATGGGAGTGGTGATCATCATGACCATGTCCAGAGTAGCCGGAGTGTCCTGAGTGTTCCGCCTGTGAGTGCTCCTCAAACTCAACATGGCCACCCTCATAGCCGCTGTGTCCATGGTGTACGGGCACATGGCCATGCACCTTCTCGCGGTGCACCTGGGCCTCGAAGCCCTTGTGCTTATCGGCCGTATAGTGGACAGTGCGCTTGTGTCCATCGGCATCGATCAGTTCATAGTGTCCAGTCACCTTGTGTCCATCACGAAATTCGCTATGCTCCTTGACATCGCCTGTCTTGGGATCCTTGACGCCATACTTGAAATTGTACTCGGAATGCGAGTCGTGGTGATCGTCATGGCCATGACCATGATGGTCATGGGATCCCTTGTGATCGTCATGGGAGACCAGATGCACGGAGGCATGACTGGTTGCTCCCTTATGGAAAGGAGCTGCTCGAATGACCACACAGGCCAGCAGGGCAAATGCGACGCAAATCTGTGAACAAAATGCTTAGAGATTGGACGGACTAGACTAGTCGAGTCTCGATGTTGGCTTACCTTCTGGACCATGGTACTGTTGCTTAATGAACTGTTGGTTGATGTCAGCTAGTTGTTGTTTGAACTCAAGACCCAAGCGTACTGTGCCTTAACTGGGCTTAAACCCTCCTTTTTATAGCCAGATTTTGTGTAGTTTTAGCTTTGCTTCTAACCTTTGACTTACTTTCGAATTGCGTTTTAGTAACGCCCAGTTTCGGTTCAAGTTCGTTGACTTTCACCTCAACAACTACCGACGTGGTTTTTCTTTCGCAATGGCGTTTTTTTTCTTTCTTATATTATTGAGTTAAATTAAATCCACGGATAGTAATTCATTGTACGATTTATTGTCACATCGATGGCCAATTTAAAATGGCATTGTTTATGTTCCGTCCATAATCCCTGAAAGCTGCCGGGCCCCGATTGGAAGAGATGAGGCAGCAAGATTTATACGCCAGGCCGACGTTGAGTCGTTGACGTCAATCAGCCTGACAAAAAGTCATCAGAATTGCACTGCTCTGCGTGGACCCCGTCTCCACGTTGATCGAGCCCAGTCGAACGCTCTGCCAGATCTGGCTGGCTGCCTGACTGACTGGCTGGCTGGTTGGCTGCCTCAGTGGCTGGTTGCCTGTCAGAAGTCAATCGGCTGCCGTCTGTCAATGTCGTGTCGCCTTCATCAAAGGCGAAACTTCAACGACGACGAGCTGACAATGGAATTGGATGTGCATGTAATCCAAAGGACTCGACCCGTTGACGGGGGAAGCTGTCGTCCCTTCTACAATTTGCATTTGATGCGTAAATTAGCTGACAATCGCACGAAAGGGGAGGACAGTTTCAAAAAGGTTTCAAGACATTTTCCAAATCGCATACATCGCAGCCAACAAATAAACAGCTAATATTTATATGTCAAATTACATTTATTGGTATTGGGAAATTGTTTAATACATATTCACTAATTGTGTTAATTGAAATCCTTTTTTAAAGTTCCGTTTGAATTCCTGAATTCTTGAACTTGTAATCTAAACTAGATGTACGTAATATATTTGTATAATGGAAAATTAATTTGAAATGTTTTAACATTTCTCATATTTATTTACATAAGTATTTGTTTAGCTTTCGAATTCGATTCGATTTGGTTATGCGATTTCGTTTGTCTTTCTTTATAATCGCTTTTTATCTACGTAAAAACGCAATTCAAAAATCTCCATTAAATATTGTGAAACATGAAAAAAATAAAACCATTTTAAGTAATTCAAAATTAGCTAATATTTTGCTTTAATTGTTTAATATTGTAAGTTAGTCTGTTTTCTGCTTTTAGATTAACTTTATTATTTCAAAGTAAAGATCATAAAGATTTACAAAGGTATCCCTATAGTCTTTAGTCAAATCAATTCAAATGAAATGCTCATTTTATATTAATTTAACTTTAATTAATAAGAGACTTTATATTAATAGCTTATAAGCAAGCACTGGGTATCTCTTAGTCGCACTTCATCTAAAATCGCTCTCTTGGTAAAAGTGCAAAAGTGATTGGTGCTTATTAGTTAATGAAGTTCAACTGAAATTAGAAAGTATCTCTTAGTTTTGCCAACACGCCTATGTGATTGTCAATCCAAATTTAGAATGTTTCCATTTACTTCTCTCGTCAAGAGATTCGCTTTAAATTGGTCCCTTACGCAGTTTTACTTTGTTGTTTCGTTGACTGGGTGCTTGGTTACTTGATTGGTTGGTTGCTTGGTTGGTTGGTTGGTTGTTGGTTTGCTGTCAGTGTCATTTCTGGCTGCGTTTTGTGGGCACATTTCGGCTGCTTGATTACTCATGTCAATCAGGTTTCCAAACAGCGACGACATGCTGTCAATCTTTGTGTCATGGCCGCTGAAGTGGTTGCCATTGGAGTTGGACAACAAGTACGCTTGATTGTGCGGCCCAAAAGGTAAAGAGATCCGCAAGGAAGGAAACACAACCAGACGAAAGGTAAAAAAAAAAAAACGAAAAAGAAAAAAAACAGCAACAGAGAAACTGATGCCACAAAGGTGCACACTGCCAGGGTAGTGACAGTGACAGTACTTGATGTTGTTGTTGCCATTGCTGTTGCCGTTGATGTTGCTGTTGCCGTTGATGTTGCTGTTGTTGGATTGATATGCATTGTATGTAAATTGGGCGGCCGTTTTCGCATTTGATGCCCTGTCAAGGGATAATCAACAGCAGTCGACTGACGCAGGACATCGACATCGGGGCAATGAATGTGCAACAAACGGCAACAACTGCAACTCATTATGCAGACGCATAAAAATGTTGCGTCTCCCTCCACATCGATGCATCGGATCGATTGATGGAAGGTCGGTCCATCGTTTGGTTGTCGTCTGGCTGATTGCTCTTACTCCACCTCGGTACTCCACTCTCCCATAACGAGCGTTAAGAAATATACAGCTCCAGTGTACGATAATTTGCAACGAGAATTTTACTCTGTGGCCCCGCCCCCGCACTTTAATCGGCTCCTATCCACAGACGGAGTCACATAAATTGTGCCCGCTGACATTTTGCGAACGTTCCGAAATTGAAAACGATGTTCAGCTTGTTGACAGATATTCGTTTGACGGACCGTCAACTGTCATTGTGGAGCCCCGTAAACGTTAACTGAAACCCGCCGCAAAGGGGCAACAACACACATACATACATACATACATCCATACATATATTGATGACAATCCTCATCCCCATCCTCTTCCTGTGCTGTCCATTTTCCTTGGCAGCAGCGTCATTATCATTGTGAAAGGGGTTCTTCCTTCAGCTTTTTTGTTGTTGTTTTTTTTTTGGATATCCTTAAATGCAATTTACTGCATTACTTGGGATTACCTTGGTAGATTGGCCATTCTGGTGATCCATTATGCAGCTCCTTATGAAACATAAATTTATTTTACTGATTATATAGGGGTTGTAATGGCAACATACATTTTAAATGGATATTATTTTTAACAAGCACTTTTCAGCCTTAAGTTGCCAATGAAAAAAGGAGCATAATTCTTTTGCATTATGTATTATTAATGTAATGATGGAGCACGAAGGTTTCCTTTGGAGTCCTTTTCCGTGAGAATCGATGATAAATTTATAAACAGGAATATATTGATTATAGACTTATTATTTTAAGAATAAAAGTATAGTCAAACGAGGATAATAATATTTTTGAATCTAAGTTAATTATTTGATTAAGCATTCCAAATTGCATTAGTTAAAAATTCACACAATATTTATTTTATTGCATTAGGTCAAAGGGAATGCAATATTTTTAGCTGAATTATATATTAAAATATAAATATATATTTTGTTTTAAGAATAAAAGTCACAGTCTAAGTCTAATAAATCAAAATATTAATGACATATCCTTTTTTTTTATATTTTTTTATATTTTTAATAATAAAAGACTAAGTAAATAAAAGTTAATAATAATCTGACAAGTTGGCTGCTTGTTTCTTTTTCTTAAGTAAGTTAATTATTTAATTGAACCTATAGGAATTCATTAGCTAAAACTTATCACAATAAAGATTAATTAAATTTCATTAATGTTTTATTGCAATAGTTACGAGTTCCTTGTAATGATTATGATATTATGTGGGCATGGCACAAGGACATAACTCAGGCGACTGCCTGGTAGTTTCTCGAAGTCGTTTATATTTTCTAATACACCATTCATCAAGCTACCAAGTGCACATATTTGAGGAGTCGAACAAAATTGTTACTACGCTGACAATAAAATATCAGCAGGCGCAAGAAAATGCGTCAAACAATTGCAGCAATTGCAATTGGACAGCAAAGAAAAGAGACAAGAACAGAAACGGGCCTGCAGCAAAGCTGTAATCGGTAATTGCGAAAAGTAAGTCAAGAGCCGGAGGTGCAACAGGCAGCAGAGTGTTGCATAGTCTGGCAGAGGGGGGTCTCTCCAACTTGGTCAGGTAGTTATATAGGTGTGGAGGTGTAGGAGGATAGGCGGAGGTTGGTGTGGGGGGGGGGGGGGGGCTTAGGCCAAGTGTTGACAATCCTCGTCAATTACGTTGTAATGCGTCTGGCAGCGTCTGCTGCAACTTTGCAGTTGACTGCAACGTTCGCTGCTGCAACGTGCCACAGTTGGCATTGACGCATTGCCTGACACATTATGATGCTTGATTTGTTGTCATGGCAATTTTGCCACCATTCGCTTTCGCATTCGCATTTGTATTCGCATGTGGCTCGTCCTGGAATGGCAATGCTGGCAATCTCCGTCGCTGGAAAATGCGAATTTTTCACTATGGACAAATGAGTTTGTCGCGGTCTTTTTGCGTTATAATTAGGCTTTTTGTTTGGTCTAGACCCAAAGAAATACTTTACAACATTTTTCGCCTTTCCAGTTTATTAATGGCTAACTCAGCACATGTTGGCATTTAACGTGTTTATCGCTATCGGAAATTGCTGTTTTTGCCATCGCAGCTGCATTTCTGCGTGTTTTTGTCTGCCATCTCATGAAAATGCATTGGCAAAAGTTCATTGCAGTGTAAATAACCAAAAAAAAAAGAGTAATATAATCAGTACACATTCATTGAAAAGGTTTTGTTATTTTATTAGCAACGGTATTTAATTATCTGAATTTCAACACTATTTCAAATAAAATCATATTTCTATGAAGGGTTTTTACCACTTATTATTGAGCTACAAAATATCTTTTGTAATTACTGGCGTACATATTTTAGCAAAAGTATTTTTATTACTGTTTTTTTTACCTATTTCCTAACCAGTTTATAGCTACAATAGCCATTTTTTCGCTTTGTAATATTGTGCCATTAGCATTCAATCGAAAACCGTCAAACTGGCTTTACATTTCTTGTAATATTTCGTACACTGATAGATCGATCAAATGTGGAACACTGGTAGCTGGTAGCTGGCAGATGTAATCAGACGTGCTCTTGAATGCCCCTGGAGGCCTTTCAATTAATTTTCGAAAAATTGGAAAGAAAAAAAGAACGAAAATAATAACAATAAGAAATAAAGACCGTAGTATGCCCCAC